ATATAACGAAAAATACAACAAAAATATTACAAACAATTTCCATCCCCAACAACCCACCGCAAGCCACGGATCACGTGTGGCCAGACTTTAAGAATCGCGCGCATCAAGCTAGAGCTCTGCCGGCAAGTAGTCGGAACCACCCGGGGTAACGGAGAGAAATTATACTTAGCTTTAAGTACGCGCACCCACAGAGAGTTCGGCTTCGTCATCATTCCCCAGCCTAACTTCATCATTTGCGCGTCATTCATTAACCGAAGGTTTTTAAGACCAAGTCCACCATCAGATTTGGAGCGACAAACATCTTGCCAAGCAACCAAATGGACCTTTCTTTTCATATCAGACCCACCCCATATGAACGCCCGACATCTTTGTTGAAGCTGGTCCGTAATGGCATAGGGCAACCTAACCGTTTGCATCGCATAAAGCGGGAGAGTGCTTAGAACCGACTGAGTGAGTGTCACACGGCCTGCCATAATTTTTCGCATAATTTTTCCTTTTGTGTGTTCATCTTAAAACCATTGAAAATTATTTTTGTTGCACATCCACTAAGCAAACCCTTATTTTCCAGCAATTGTATTGTTCACGAGCGTTATATATTAACCATCGAATAAATTAATTATCTTATTCTATTTTGATAAAAATAACTATATATATACATGAAATGAAACGAATAATACTCATAAAAATATTTTTTAAAATTAAAAATAATATTGAGAAAAATATTGTTTTAAAATAATTATTTATATTTTTTTTATTTCAAAATTAAAATATCAATTTTCTTTAATTTTAATTAATTTTTTTTATGAAACTTCCGTGTTCTTCACAGGCGTTGTCTTAGTTGTTATTAAATAAAAAATAAAGCCAAATATAAAATACACTAATAAGTATCTTGAACTAACAAACAAGGACATATAAAAAACAATATTTCCAAATTGACCCCTCATTTTGGGCTTTTTTTGACATCACATACCCCCCATCTTCCCTGCTCAGTGCTGACTTTCTTCAGTTCACCGCAAGCTCAGTGTTTTCTCTCGCCGGCCAGGCCAGAAAAAATCGCCCGCATATTAAATTCTTGAGCGTCGATATAGATTTCTCTAGTTGCTTCACCAGCTCATACAAAGCGGGTTGCAGGCGCTGGCGTTGACGAACCGATTAGAAAATGGCGGTTTCTATCTCTTCATCTATGGGTTCAGGGGTTTTAGTTCCGGCACCTTTTTGCCGGAAGGCCAAGGGCTTGAGACTTTCTTCGATCCTGTTCAGTTCTTCTGTGGATGTTCTTCGTCGGAATCGTTTTGCTTCAAAAAGTCGTGGATCGTCTTTGCAACCATGGGTTTCCAGGTACGAGCAAGTTCTCCTACGGTTCTCCTTTTTTCATGTGCAGATTCTGGTGATTGATTAACTTTCTTCTCTTCTTTGTCGCGGTTTAGATTGTTTGCTGAGAGTATGTTAGTTCGATTTGAATTTCGTAATTGAATAAGTGTGATTGTTAGTAAAAAAATATGGAAAGAATTTGAATATGAATTAAAGTTGCCCCGCCGTCGTTATATTCGATTTTGCCATCAAATTAACGGAAAAAGGGCAACAGGCCTACGCTTCAACTGTCAATAGAGATATCTGATATCTGATTATCCAAGAACGTAGTTGACTCTTAGTTGAAATTTCAGAAGTTACTGTTTTGGATGTGGGTCGTTCATCGATAGGTTTTGCTTGCTCAACTGAATGGAAGAAAACACAAAATGATTGATTCTTTAATCTTGTCGATGTCTTTTACTCTGATTTGTATGTTTATGATTGAAAGGAGGAGGTGGGCTAAAGTTCATGCAACAATATTGCAAGAGGATGAAGAGAAAGTGGTTGTAGAGAAGTCATTTGATCCTAAAAGTTTCCCGGAAAAGGAAAATGAAGGAACCTCGGGTGAGTCGTATGATGGGTCGCCAACTTCCCGTGGTTTGGAGAAATGGATTATAAAATTTGAGCAATCTGTAAACATTTTTCTCACGGTATGTATTCCATTATATTAATTTCTTTGGTTGTACAGGATTTTTGAAAAACTTGTTACTGACAAAAGCTAGTTTGTTTGAAAACCCCTTCCTAATCCAGTGCTGTTTGGTATATTGAAATTTTGTCCATCTGTGATTGTATGATCATGTGTTTTTACGTTTGCAGGAGTCGGTGATAAAGATCCTCGACAGCTTGTACCATGATCGTCATTATGCAAGGTTTTATGTTCTGGAAACTATTGCAAGGGTTCCTTATTTTGGTAATGACTCTATTTTGCATCACAATCTTTAAGATAGTTCGAGAATTAGAATTCAATATCGGTATTCCTCAACACTTTCAACACTTCTGGAAATGTTTTAAGACTGGGAAAGTTTAGGGTGAAGATAGTATAAGAAATATGTGGAGGTGTCACAGTTTACAATTTATTTTCTTTCCTGGAAAATTAAATATTCGATATCCTATGTGATTTTTTTGGGACTAATTTGCAGCTGTACGTAATGTATTTCCAATTTAGTTCACCCATTGATGAGAAGTTGTGCATCTCTTTTTGTGTTGTGGCAGCCTTTATGTCTGTACTTCACATGTACGAAAGTTTTGGGTGGTGGAGAAGGGCGGACTATCTGAAAGTCCATTTCGCTGAGAGTTGGAATGAGATGCATCATTTGCTTATCATGGAAGTAATACTCTGCTTCCAATTCTCTTTTATCTCCAGTGTTGCTAATAGCTAATAGTTGTACGTCTATGTATTTATTCTTTTTGGTAACGTTCGTCATTAGCATAGCCAGTTATGTGAGACAATGATTTCGTTGTTCTATGAACTTATAGGCATAAATTAAAGGATCTTATCATGGTAACCTGTAGACAAGGTTTGATTTGAGGAATGTGATTTTTAGATGGTTTATAGCATTTATGACATTATGAAAAGAATTATGAACCTTGTGTTTTGCTTGCTAATTGGCTGCATATCTTATCTGTATCACCCCTTTCTCTCTTTTGCAGGAATTAGGGGGAAATTCCTGGTGGGTTGATCGGTTTCTTGCCCAACACATTGCGATATTTTACTATTTCATGACTGCTTTCATGTATGCTTTGAGCCCAAGAATGGCATGTAAGTATAAATTTGATGCTGATAGTTGTTTGTATAGCGGGTCATCTATCTGCTACCTTGCTACTTGTGTGGAACATTTATTGTCAAATTCTCATATGTCAATAAGTAATTCATATAGAAATGCAAATATGCAATATTGGTAAAATAACTTCATTCAAAAGTATATGACGATTCAGTGGTTTCTTTGGACATCAGACTAAGATCTGGTCTAGTCATTCTCAAGGTCTGGCAGTCTCTCATGCCTTATTTTACGCATTTTTAACACCTTATATCATATGAGTTATCAATCTTTTTTTTTTTTTCTTATGTTTTTCTTATGCTGCACAATTTGTCGGTTAGTTATCGTTCGGAGCTCTATGTTTTCTATGGTCCTTTCTTTTACCTGCAGTTTATCACGAAGGGATTTTTTGATTCACAGTATTTACTTTTAACAGATCACTTCTCTGAATGTGTGGAAAGTCATGCATTTGAGACCTATGACAAGTTTATCAAGACTCAAAAAGGTACGAGATCTGCAAGATGGATACTTCTAAATTCTAATGTCCCCATATACACATCCACACATCTCATTACCAATTTGTGTCAATCAATCAAAACAACAATGATTAATAACCACAAGAGATATATAATACAAGAGAAGTAGAGAAAAGTAATAATCACAATGGATATATGAATAAAGGAGAATGTAAAAGATAGAGAAAATCGATTAGACCTCTCATATTGTCTTAAACTTAGTGGTAGTGTTCTCCAATTTTTTTATTTAAAATAAAGGTAGTGTTCTCCAATTTTTCTTTTAAAATAAAAGAAAATGATAGAAGAATAGAGGAGTGTGCTTGAGAAGAAAAGATAAATAAGAACCTAGCTGTCCGTTCCAAAAATCAGTCTAATACTAATCCTAGTAGGAAATACTTCAAAATTAAATAAGCTAATATTCTCTCTCCAAATTTATCCCAAAAGTAATGTTCTTCAAAAATATAGATTATTAAGTCTTCTAACTGCCTTCCAATTTATCCGTTCCTTCTTCCAACTTGTAGGAAATAGGAAATAGGCGTGTCCACTGAAATTGCACTTTTACGCAAACTCCAAAATTTCCAACAAAAAGAACATAAAAATCAAATAAAAAATCTAAATTAAGCCCAACAAACTTCGAAAAAGCATGGAAAATACGACATTTTGTATGTTACTAATGTAACTTATCCAACCTTGTTTCCATTTCGTTACTCACCTACACTTTTTCCCCTATAATGTTGTGTTCCTATTATCTTTTATCGCATCTGTAGATGAGCTAAAGAAAGTGCCGGCACCTGTAGTTGCAGTGAAATATTACACAGAAGGTGACCTGTACTTGTTTGGTGAGTTGAGTTCTCGGTTCTTTTCTTTTTATCCTTTGAAGATGTATTACTCCCCGACAATTTTTGTAATTGGATTCTGCTTTCTCAGATGAATTTCAGACTTCAAGACCTCCCAATTCTCGAAGGCCGAAAATTGGTGAGTATTTCATAAAGTGAATGTTTTTATGTGCCTCTTTCCTGGCCCACTTTGTCTTATATATACAAAACTAGTTACAGAGCCAGGCAATTCAACTCTGAACATAATTATTTTACCAAAATGTGAAATTGTGATGCAGGAATATAGTTGTTTCTTGTTCTCCTTTTTTTTTTTTTTTAA